ACAATATCGGATACACATTTTAACAATTATTAATAATTGCATTGATGTAGATTCTATATAAATTATAAACCAATTGTTAGTTGTTGTATTTTAATAGAAAATACAACAAATTGTATGAGAAGGCGCGACACAAGTCTTCGTGATTATTCATCCATGTCTTATCCAGTCAGAGATCATAGTAACTCTACTTCGAATCGCTTAATATTGGATGAGCTAAATTACGATCGGAAGGCTTTATCTGTAGAGCACGAAGCACTTCTTAGTAGAATGACCGACGAGCAGAAGAATGTTTATTCAAAGATCATGGACGCTGTTGATTCTGCTAATGGTGGTGTATTTTTTGTATACGGATATGGCGGGACAGGGAAGGCCTACTTGTGGAGAACGTTGTCTGTGGGGTTACGACCGAAGGGTAAAATTGTTTTATGTGTCGCATCAAGTGGAATAGCGTCTCTTTTGTTGTCTGGTGGAAGAACTGCACTCTCGATTTCATCCTGCGATATCGACCAGACAAGTCCTCTTGCGGAACTTATAATACGACGCTCTCTCATTATATGGGACAAGGCGCCGATGATGCACAAACATTGCTTTGAAGCTATAGAAACATCATTGCAGGCTATTATGAGAGCAGTTGACCCTTCCAACAGTAACAAGCCATTCGGAGGCAAACATGTTGTATTTGGTGGAGACTTTCGACAAACACTTCCAGTGATTCCAAAGGGGAGTCGTCAGGATATTGTGAATGCAACTATTAATTCTTCCGACATTTGGAGGAATTGTACTGTGTTGCGACTTACAAAGAACATGCGTCTTCAGAGCATTTCAGATGTAGACGAACGTGATGAGCTAACAACATTTGCTGAGTGGATTGCGAGCATTGGAGATGGGACTGTAGGAGGATCAAATGACGGTTGTGCCACGATTGACATTCCAGAGGATATACGATTGGAAACCTCAGATGATCCAATTGCTACAATCATCGAAAGTACCTATCCAATGTTCAAAAATGCAACTGACGATCCAAGTTATTTGAAGGACAAAGCTATATTAGCGCCTACTTTGGAGGTCGTTGAGTCTATCAATCAATACATGTTCGGATATGAATTCTGCTGAAGGTCGTACATATTTGAGCTATGACAATACGTCTAAGTCGGATTCCGGCAATGGCTTTTTGGCTGATCTCCACACACCCGAGT